AATAATCAAATGGCAAAGTAAAACGTGGGTCAGGATAAGAATTGGAAAATGGAAAAGAGTTAGCTGTGAGTTTACCGATTCTCCCATAGTACATCACTTCTGATATTATTTTTTCTGATAAGAAACGTTGATCTTCTGTCATACCTACCCTTTAGTTGCAATGCAAACTTTTTTCCAATTACTGAAGTTTCGTCATCTTCACTTGACGTACCTAAAGATTTCATAGTTTCACTTGGTAGATCCATAAATTCAATTTTTTTTGCAATAATCGATTTTTTTTGTTTTTTTGGTGGGTTGAAACTTGGCGTTCCTGGATCGATATTTTGAAGAGTAGGAGATTCATTTGGTGCTAATACATCAATCATAGAGTCACTGTCTTCAACATTCTAAACATAAAATATGAATAACTAATGAAATACTACTGAGATATGATAAACATTTATAATACTATATGGAAATTATTTATGCGCAAAGTCTATCTAATTATTATTTTAAATTCTGAGCGGAGCAATTAATGTATTGATTTTACAATGATGTGCGTTTATTTATTTTTTTTTTATTTTTTTTTGTGTCTGTGACCTGTGTTCACGATAAGTTGTCAAAACAATGCTTAGATTTTCTACTTTAGTAGCTTGATTGTATGCTTGATTCTTCATGAGTTTGTCTACTTTAATCAAAAAAAAAAATGTCTACCGAAAAGTCAAATTAAGTTTTTATGAGCATTTGAATTACACTATTATTGGATATTCACTCAATTTATTATTTATATGATTATGGGGAATAATGAATAAAACATAGTAAATAAAAATCACCCAATACTGAATAACGAATAATAATAATAATTAAAATAATGAATAAAAGTAAAAATCAATAAAGAATAATTTTTTATTCGAATAATCCCCTATACTCTTTTGGCACCGAGTGCCTTAAATTTGAAATAGTCATTTTTGATTAATTACAATTAACAATATAAAATAAAGTAATATGTAGTATATTATGTATTAGTGATGGGCAACGATATAATTTATATTATATATTTAAATATCAACTTATTAGTACTTATTAGTTGTTACTTATAATAATTAACAATTATAGGTAGGTATAAATATTGAAATAATAATTATTATTTATTATAATTCAAAAATAGGTAGATACTTAATAAAATCGAATCATCATCATTTAAACTGGACACACCAACCCTTCCACTTTCATGTTCACTTGTAAATAACAATAAGTTATAATACCATAAGCTTGGTTCATAAATATTGTCCGGAGAAGTTCCTGTATGTTTGGATTTCTTTACTTTGGACAATTCTCTCCGAAAAGTTGTTAAATTTTTTTTTTTTTCGAACAAATTCATCTAGTCCGGCATTTCTCAAATGTTTGTTTTTATTTATGTCACTTTTGATTTTCCATAATGCTGGATGCTTTTGATAAAGTTCAATGAATTCAGAAATGAACTTTTTGTCTGATTCAAAAGACATTACAAGATTTTATAAATTCAAAAAAAAAAATTATAGTTTTCAAAGTTTTCAACTAGTTAAAAAATATCTTCCATATGCGGCTGTCTGAAATATGTCTATATTTATTGGTTATCCGTCCACTACTACCCGCATAATGGTAAAATCGTTGTGTTGACCATAGATAATTCTGTCAATATTTTGACACTCGACAACCGTCAATGCATACGTCATATTACGTATACCTACCTAATTAATTTACCATTAATATTGTTAAAAGGTATTCTATAAGATAAGGGTAATTTTAAATTGTAAATAATTCAATAAAGACATTCAATGCAGTTTATGGAAAAAAAGTATTCATTAAAATTAATAAAGAATTATTGCATTAAGTACTATTATTGTATTTATGTATACAATATATTATATTATCATCGTATTTACCACGAAGACTCCCGGGTTCGACACCTTACGACTACAACCATGGACCTTCTATTAGCACTTGGCGCTAGTCAAGAGCCGTGGAGTTCTGCGGTCGACGGACTGCGGTTTCACCCTCTAGCTGTCGACGGTCCGCCAGAAATGGACGACACATTGGCGGTGGCCGTTGCCCGCCTACCGTCAAGACGGTCGGAACTGCAATGCTGTGAGGCTCCGGACGCCCGCCGGTTCCGGTATTACCGTCTACACCAGTGAAACCACCTGCCCTCGCGAAGCCAACTGCACGGCGTGAAGCCACTTAGACGGGCGGATGCCGGGCCTGGCTCGCCCGGCGCCCTGGGCTAACCCGTCACCGCCGTCTACCATTCGTAATGCGTCATCGGTAGGATATGCTTCGACGACCACCATCGTCAACCGACTTGTGGGTCTTTCACGAGACACATCACCAGATGCTGCAGTCCAAAACTCCCTCACCGGTCCTAGGAGAGATTGGATTGACGATTGATACTGGGACGCATGGCCCGCTAAAGGTGTGAACCGGCTTCCGTACCTCCAGAGAGCAGGAGGCACCACGGAGAGGGTCGGTGGACCTGCCCGCAACCGTATCCCAGACCAGGCTGGTCTGAACCACGTATCATTTGCTTATAGCTGTCCACGGCTTGCTAATAGCTATTCACAGGCGACCCGACCAGTACCGTAGGAAACAAGTTCGCAACCCGGAGACGCGATCTAGTCCATATATCTACGGATGCTACACCTACAGCAAATGGCGGGCTGCGGTTTAGCTAGATCCTCGTATTTACCAATAGGTATCTAAATAGTGGGCCGCTGGGGAGCATCCCGGTGACGGAGCTGCATGTGGGCTGGCGAGTCGGTTTTCTTTCGACGTGCGCCACCGCGATGGTGGCCCATGTCGGTGGTTTGACGCGGTCGAAGATGATGCTTGTTTGACGACTTGACCGTGCAGGACTTGCTGGCTGCTGCTCTGAACTTGCTGCTCTGCTCTATGCTTCTCTTGCTCTTGCTCTTGCCGGGTTAGGTTTTTGTTTGATGAGTTTGCAATTTGCTATGGTTGGGCGGCCAGTGGCCTATTTAAGAGTACCAGGCTGACGCCTTTACACTCTATTTGAGGTGTTTCATGCGTAATTTTGACACTTTAGGATAGTGCTGATAGATGGGGGTGACGACTAAGCGATAGCCTGTATGCCAATGATTTGGATAGGTGTAGTGCCTCATCCTTTAGAGGGGCAATGGAGGTAGAGTTTCGTAGGTTATTGTTGTTTACGAGATAGTGAGCGCCTGTTATGGTACGCAGTGTCATATTTTGGAAGCCCTCGATTTTGCTCCACGTGGATGGACCAATGAGGTGTCTCCAAATCGGAGCGGCATATAAAAGAATTGGTCTGATATAGATTTTGTAGATAGTTAGTCTGCTGGATAGTGGGACCGTACTGTTGTGGTTTAGGACAGGGTAAAGTGCCGCCCGGGCACCACGCGCCTTTTTTGATGGTAATTTGAATGTGATTAACGAAGCTCAGATTGTGGTTGAACGTGACGCCAAGGTATTTTGCATTTTTGCTCCATTCGATGGTTTGATTTTGGATAGTAAGTTTCATGTCAAGATTTTTGTGTCGGGGCCCGAATAATACCGCTACTGTCTTTGCGACGTTTAATTTGATTCTCCATTTGGTAAGCCAATCTGTCATAGTATTCAGCTGACGTTGAAGGGCCATTACTGCGTATTTATAGTTCCGGTTGCTGGCGTATAGGAGAGTGTCATCAGCAAAAAGAGCCGGTTTTACTGGTCCTATTGTGGGGAGGTCGTTTGTATAGATTGAATAGAGAAGCGGAGATAAGCATGATCCCTGAGGAACGCCTGCTTGGATTTTGCGTTCCGTTGAGAGATCAGAAGTTAGTTTGATTTTGAACGTGCGATTACTAAGAAAGGATTCTAACAGTTTTACCAGTGGGATAGGGACGTCAGCAAGCATGAGTTTATGTAGAAGTCCTTGGTGCCAAACGCGGTCAAATGCTTTTGCTATGTCCAGGAAAATAGCCGCTGTATTTTCTCTTTCTTTGGATTTTAGTGATAGTTCATCAGTTAGTGTTATTAATTGAGTGGTTGTAGAATGGCCCGTATGGAAAGCATGTTGCTCAAATCTGATTTTGATGTAGTTGTTCAGTTTCCGTAGAATTATCCTTTCGAAGATTTTGGACATAGTATTAAGTAAAGAAATGGGTCTATGGTTGTCTGGTAATTGATGGTTCTTCGTGGGTTTGGGGATCATAACAATCAGGGCTTTTTTCCACTGGTCAGGGAAATAGGAGTGTCTAAAGCAAGATGTGTAAATATTCTCTAGGAGTACGATGGCTATTTTTAGTAGGTGTTTTAACGCTTTATTAGTAATACCGTCCTCGCCCGGTGCTTTCGCTGGCGGGAGATGTTTTATTATGTCCCATACTTCATTCGGTGAAACGTAGTTTTCTGACGGGGGAAAATTGGGAGCTCGTAGTTTTGCGATGGAGTCATTTATCTCAGGTAGGGGGGTCCTGGGTTGTTATGGAACTGGGCGGTCATTGTGTCAGCAAAAAGCTCAGCCTTTAAGTTGGAGTCGTATATTTGTGTCCCAGCAGGAGTTCTGAGCGGTTGGGATGGTGGTGGATTATGGAGAAGTCGACGATTCAGTTTATATAGAGATTTATTTTTAAAATTTAGTGTGGAGGTGAAGAGTTGCCACTCGTGGAGTCTGTGTTTGATGAGCAAATCTTTAACGTAGGATACCTGGGCGTTGTATAGTGTTTTCATGCGTGGGTCTCGTGTTTGTTGCCAGTTTTTCCGCAATATACGTTTGGTATCGATCTCTAATAGTATTTCGTCCGGTAGTGGTTTCAAGAGCTCTGATTGACCCACTGAGTAGGAACAGTTCTCGCATTCATTTTGGATATTATTCGTAAGTTGGACAATGTTCCTATTGATGTCTGAGATGGTAGAGATGTGGTTGTTTTTGATCCGAGGTGCTAGTTCGATTTCAAATTTTTTCCAATTTATGCGCTTTCTTGCTCTAGGAGGTCCGCATAGTGACATTCGAGATTGTATGTTTATAATCTGGGGGCTATGGTCAGAAGAAAGTCGCAAAGGTTGGTGATGAAGTAGTTCCAGTTCGGCGTATCAAGTAGAAAGATGTCGAGGACATCCGGGCGGTGCGTAGGGACATATGAGAAGTAGGTCGGCGAGTCGGAAGCCACGATCGAGTATCGGTTTGACGACTCGGCGTGTTGCGCTAGGGTCTTGCCTGACTTATTGGAGCGTAGACTGTGCCAGTCCGTGTGCTTGGCGTTTAGATCACCGCCGATTATGAGTGGGCCATGGTGCTTGGTTAACGCATCCAAATCTGACGATTTTAAGGTAGCGCTTGGACTTTTGTAGACCGCCGTGACCTGGGTGATTTCGTTTTCTATTTTTATTTGTGCGGAGGTTGAGTCAAGTTCAGTTAAGACATTGACATGATTATGCATAATTCCACGACGGATTAGTACTGCAGTTCCCCCGTTTGGTGGATGTCTTGGAAGCGGTTTACGATCAGAACGATAGATGTGGAAATTTGGAATTTTGAGTTGAGTTTTTGGGTGAAGGCGGGTTTCGCTTAGTAGAATTACATGGATGTTGTGGAGTTTTACAAATGCTGTTAGTTCTTGTGTCTTTTTTCTGATGCCATTGCAGTTCCAGGTCATGATTTTTATGTTAGACATGATGATTTTCAGGAATGGAGTTGAGAATTGACATGACTGTATTTAGAATAGCGTCTTTAGAGCTTGAATCTGGACATTTTTGAATGGTTCCAAGTAGTTTTTTGATAATGCTAAGTATTTGCGTCATTGTGACAGCAGGTTCGGTGGGATTTGAGGAGTGAGATTTTACTATTTCAGCGTAAGTTACGGAGGTAGTTTGATGGGCATTTGGCGGTTGTGGTGTGGCGAGTGGAGGAGAAGGCAGGGCAGGTTGATGTGCGATGTTCGCGGCACGTACGCTGTTGGGAATGGGTTTTGGTTTGTGCTTTTCAATGTAGTGAGGGCAACCTCGGTAATTGGCAGTATGTTCCCCTCCGCAGTTGTAGCAGGTAGCTTTATCTGTTTTGGGCTTATACACTCTTTGGTGGAGTGCTCTTTACCACATTTTACGCACCGTGGAGTTTGATTGCAGTTCAGCGAGGAATGGCCAAATTGTTTACAGTTGAAACACTGTGCAGGCCCAGAATTTTTATACGGTTCAATTTTGACTCTTACAAAAAGAATGTCACCGATATTATAGATGTCTTTCGCGTTTTCTGTCATTTTTAATGAGACCATGTGTGTGGGAATCCTTTTTCCGTTTTTTAGGAAACCTCTGACCAATTGCGGTTGGTAGCCTAGCATGGTGAGTTCGTCTGATAGCTCAGTGTCGGTTACCTCAAGGGGGATTCCTTTGATGACTATTTTCAGGGATCTTTCTTCTTGTACAGGAAAAGAGAAATACTCTATGGTCTCCTGGTTTGCATCCAAGAACTTTTGGACGGTACGGAATGATTTTTCGTCATTACAGTTGATTTTAATTTGTGAAGGAGTAGATGTAATTTTTGCAGAGATATTCTCGAGACCTTCTAGTTTGAACAACTCCTTTGCGATTTTGTGCCATGGAAGACTTGGACGAGTTTGAACGAAAATTGGTGGGAAACGGACAGTGGTGTTTTGTAATGGAAAGTGCTGGCGGTCGATTTTAGAGGACTGGTGACTGCTTTCGTCGTCTTCTATGGTTGATGATTGAAATGAATCTCCTGATAGGCCAGTGTTGGCTTGAGTTTTATTTGATACATTATTTTTGTCTGAAGTAGATGCTGGGTTTTGTTGAATGGTTTTTACAACTTGATGAAGGCTTGATTCATGAGTGAGTGAGTGAGAGAGTATAGACTCATTGCTGTCCCAGCTGTCTTCCGAATTTATAGATACGGACAAAGGGGTTGGGGATTTTGGCTCATTGTGAGTTTGTTGATTACTGGAAGACGGTGGATTTCTTTGGCGGAGTTGCATGGTGGGTTGAACTTTGACTGATGGCGGAGTGTTGGTTTTTTTGCTGTTTTTGCGGTGTGTGCCGGCGCGGTGGTTGCCCATGGTGGATGGGAGCGAGCGGATCGTGACCCGGATGAGTTTGTATGCGCGTGCACCCGTGTATATACCCGTCGCCGTACCGACTAGTAAACCTGTATGCTGATTGGTGTGTTTATAGTCGGCACGGTTTATTTTGTGATTTAGCCGGCATTTCTCTTACAAAGGTCAAAATGGTATCTACATAATCGGTGTCATCTCTTCTATTCATACATACACTTTTCTTGTCTGTACTGACTGTACTTAAAATATGTATTTAGAAATCAGCCTTTAAGCATTAAGCGTCGCCGATTTCTGATTGGTCGGGCGTTCATTTTTTGGTCACGGTAGGTGAGTGACTCTATTGTAGATGTCAAATGTGGTGGCGCTGAGAAGGGCCGTTTTTGTTAGTTTGCTCCGTTACAATATTGACATCTAGACTGGAGCCGTATAATTAATGTTATCGCGGGTCACGACTATCATGTATTTATTATATATTACATATTATATTAACTACATAACAGGTGCCATACTTCAATACAATTTCCCTCAAATATGCATTCTTAACAATGGGATTAAATCAGTTAAATCAGGAATTTTTACAATACCTAACTCAAGTATTATAATTTAGGGTATACCAGTCATGATGGCTGGCGTGCAAAAGTAAAAAATTTCGGTAAGTACACATTCATTATTTACAGTTGTAAGGTAAGGTTAGGTATGGTATGCCAGAATTGGTATATATTATTATTATATTATTATTATTTATTTTATATTAGGTTTGTGGTTTTTAATCAGTAGACCGTCAACCTTCGAGTAGTGAATAATGTTATATCATAATTTTATAGTGAGTTTATCAAAGAGTCTTTATCTTTAACTTATATTCAGTTCTTTATTTCGGATTTATCATATATAATAATATACAGTATACACTGTTTAAATGAGAGAGCCACCTGTTAAATTCAGTGGCGCCCAACCCTATGACTATATGTAGAGGTCACTACACCTTGAAAATAAGGGGTGGGTGGGTATAATAACATAAAATAATTAACTTGAAATATGTTCGTAATTAATCACAAATTATATTGGTTATACCTTAATATTTAATGATATTATCAATTAAAATATGATAAAATGTATAATATAATATAATTTTGAGTTTGTGAGGGGGTGGGTGGGTGTGTGGGTTAAATTTATTTTCTTGCTACATCTGAAAAATATGTCTTGGGTGCCACTGTAGTTAATTCAAATACGCAATAACCATACCTATCATTAAAAATGTATCACGATGAATGATGAAGGATAATACACTGACATTCAGATTTTTTGCATCAGTGCTAATTGGTATCATATAATTATTAACTAAATTCATAATTTATTATTTTATCACTGGATTAGGAAAATAATATACTATAAGACAATTCCATTATGCATTATATAATTCTTCAGTGCAATAACTATTCTGTTGTTAATCGTGCAACTTTTGAATGATATGAGTATATAACTGTATTTATGAGCTGTATTATTGGTTCCTTTAATAAATTCAATTTTATATTTAAACCCAGACAGAAAAAATGCCCATCGTTGGACACGGCCTGAAGCCATTTTGGGTATTACTTTGTCTTCACCTAATAAAGTCATTAAAGGTTTGTGATCCGACTTGATTGTGAACTCTCTTCCCTTTAAATATTGATAATTCTTTGTTACACCCCATACTGTCAATGCTTCTTTATGAGTTGTTGAATCATTTTTTTTCTGCTGATGACAGTGCCCTGGATGCAAAATTTAATGGTTTTTCTGAATTATCACTTAACACATGAGATAGAACTGCACCTAACCCATTATTTGATGCATCACATGTTAACACTATTGGTAGGTCTGGATTATAATGAGTCAATACTTGTTCTGACATCAAAATGGTTTTTATTTTATTAAATGCTTTATCACAGATTTTAGACCATATAAATGTGTTATTCTTTTTAAGTAATTCATGGAGTGGTGCTAAAATTTTTGCAAGATCCTTTACAAACTTACCATAATAATTTACCATCCCCAAGAAAGACTTTAATTCGGTTACATTTTGAGGTCTAGAAATTTTAGAAATGCAGTTTACTTTTTTTGGATCCTTTCTTAGACCATCTTTGTCTATAATATGACCCAAATACTTGATACTTGGCTGGAAAAACTGACATTTACTGTGATTAAACTGGAAACCAGCCTTTTTACATCTTTTAAAAACTTCAGCCAGATTTTTAAAATGTTCTTCATCATTCCTGCCTGTTACTACAGTATCGTCTAATAAATTAGCAGTAAAAGCACAATCTTTAAAAATTTTCTCTACTTCACGCTGAAATATAGCTGTAGCTGGTTTAATGCCATACGGAAGCCTTAAAACTTCATAAGTACCTTTATGAGTGCTGCAGGCTAATAATTTGTTAGTTACCCTATCAACTTTTAACTGATTATAAGCGTTACTAAAATCCAGTTTGGAAAACATCTGTCCACCCTGCACTGTAGCAAATAAATCCTCTATCCTTGGAAATGGACAGTGGATATCTTTGATATAACGGTTTATTGTTGCTTTGTAATCTGCGCATAATCTTAAACTACCGTCAGGTTTTAATACAGGTACTAGTGGTGTCCCCCATTGACACAATTCAGTTTTTTTTATTACTCCACTGTCCTCCAACCTCTGAAGTTCTTTTTCAACAGCAAGTTTGTGTGCAAAGGGAATGCATCGATGTTTTTGAAAAATAGGTTGTATATCTGAATTTAATTCCAAGTGTACCTACATGTATGCATATTCACCCAATTTACCACTAAAAAGGTCCTTGTGCTCTACTAAAAATTCATTTAAACTTCTCGCTTTTTTACTATCTTGAATGTTGTTAAGTTGAACCCATGATATGCCTAATTTACTAAGCAAATTCCTACCACACAGAGGGTAAGGATTTCCTGTACTTTTGACAACTATGAACTCACAGTCAACAATTTTGCTATTGAATTCAACTTTAGCTGTGAACTGACCTACAGGTTGTATAGATGTACCATCAAGGAAATTTAATTTTTTGTATGAACTCTTTAATGCACAATTTGATAATTTGTCATTAAAACACTGTTCAGTAATTACTGAAGCAGCTGCACCTGAATCTATTTCCATTTGGATAAGATTGTCATTGACTTTTACACTAATCAGCTCTGGTGGAAAAATTGCATCATTACTAACCTGACCATTCTTAATATTGAATAGGTTAAACTCATTAAACTCGTTAAAAGGTTGCTCTACTTCAACATTATTTACATTTGTGTTAGATTTGCAAATTACAGCTAGATGCCCTATCTTATTACAATTTTTACACTTATAGCTACGGTACCTGCAATCTGCGAAGTTGTGATTGTTTTTTCCGCAGTGAAAGCATGCAACTTTTCCTTGTTTGGTCGGTCTATTCTTTGCTTCTTTCTCTTCTTTTTCCGTGTCCCTCTTCGACTTTGGCGATGAATTGTGACTGCTGCTTTGTTCACCAAATTTCTTTTTGTTTATACGACCAACATGATTTATGGTAGTATGTGTCTGTGATTGGACAACCACTGCTTCTTTTTTTAAAGCGATGTCCACTAGTTAAACTAGAAGT